CTAAGGAGTTAGTTAAATTTTGTCTTAGTTGAACTCATATTTTATGTTTGAGTTTTTGTCTTAGTTGAACTCATATTTTGAGTTTGAGTTCATATCTGACTTGGTATAAATCGGGAAAGCCTCCTTTTCTAAAGGGAGTGTTGTCCAAATTTTTGCTAGTTCAGGGAGTTAGACAAAATTTGACTCTGGAAAGTCAAAGACTATTTCTGTGTTCGTTTTTAGGCTGATATAAATTATGAACAGGCACTTTTTCTACGGGAAGCGCTGCCAAAATTTCCTTAGTTTAAAGGAGTTAGACTATGTTTTGACAGGTGGCGATCTGGCGATCCACCCTGAATAGGGGAGATTCTGCCATTAGTTTACCTTTGCTTTGGACACTTGTTAGGCTTGCTTAGGTAGAATGATTCTTGAGTGAGATCGTGATATGAAGATTATTTTCCATGGACTTCTAGATCTAGCTTGGAGATTGGCCTGTCTTGTGCTACAGGTCCTCTTGATCGTTTCGATTCAGAATCTGAGATAGATTCAGCTTGATCCTACGAGGATCATCTTCTGTTATCACTGATAACAGGTTGGTTGCCGATTCGCCGGTTTACGATTCAACTCCAATCCACTCTTGCCACTCAACCTAAAGGCTTTAGCCCTGTGGTTTGATCTGTTTCATTGTGTTTTTGCCCGGACTTCATTGAATGGTCATTTAACAAAGATACTGAGTATTTTATTTGCTGGAAGGGTGCGCTAAGGTTGGGATTTGTATGGCTAAAGCAAGGGGTGTGAGCGTAGAGAATGGTTGAAGTTGACCCCGTGTAGAGCATGGACTTTTTGGTTGGATCTTTGATGATTGCAGGTATGTTTTGGCGATTCGGACTTTGGATTTGACTGCCTGTGCTCACATGCATATATATATGGCCGAGAGGAGTCCCACTGTGACTATGAGAAGTGGTCGTCCTATATTAATAACCCTTATATCGTCACAAACAGAACTGCCCGGTAAAACCGTAGGCAGAGAGAGAAGAGGACAACAAACGAGGGGTTGTGACAAACTGTTTCGTCGGAGTTTCACCGACTCGTCAGGAGGCTGAACCCTTATATATATATATATATATATGTTTGGCGCGGTCTATTGTGACCGTGCACAAGGGTTAAACAAACTATGTTTTTTTTAGAGAAAAAGGAGATCCCTTTTTATCCTTTGTTTTTTAGAATTTTATAGTTGGACGTTGTAGTCCGTGGCATCCGACAAAGTCAAACCCCTTGAGTTTTCTCGAGGCCCTAGATGAAGGAGAAGGGCAATAAGAGACGATTTGCCACCACATGTATGAACCTGTGTACCACCCACTCTCCGCAGGGTGCAGAAGAGGGTGTGGTTCTCAACCACACTTGGTGGTTGTCCAGCGTCGAGAGATCATTCCCTCAAGGCGCGTGTCAGCCGACACTTGAGTGTCGAATGCGACCCTCGAGATTAACGAGGACCGCATGAGTATGGGTACTACATAGTACGCCATCATTGCGACCCCTTGCATACGCTTGCATTGCGAGTCGATATGAGTTAGCCCTGCGTCCGTGCGGTTTTGTACTAAGTCTCTCGCGCGAGGCCTATCTGATTTCCGCATCGAAAAATTATGGGACGGCTACTAAGAGACTACGAGTGTTGTCGCGATGTTTGATGTGTGTGTGTGTTTTATTATCATTGTGTTCGTTGTGTGGTGTGCGCGTGGAGCGTGGGATGCGTCCTAGTCGACCGGTGGCGAATCGCGCTTGGGACCTCGACCCCCCAAGATGTCGGTTTCGCGTACGGATCCGATAGAGGCATAATACAACGCGTACCCCCTATGCTACATCGAACGAGAAACGCCCTCGGCTGGTCCACCTCTGCGATCGCAGCTGATTAGCTTTCATACTGTGGACTGGTAGCTCGACGGGGATACGCCCACCGAAGGGAGGTGACAACTCCCGTAAGGTGGAGGTAAGTCGTGCCTCGTGTAGGCCCTATCCTGCCGTAGGGGCTCGCGAGAGGTATGGATGGCGCACTCGGCTGGAGCGGCTAGCGGAAGCTCCATGTATCTTCGCGACAAAGGATTAAAACCAACTCCTGCGTGACGCGGCCGAGAGGGTCCCGCGCTGCCTTGTGCGGTGCCGGACCGATGCGCTCGACACCGTCTAACACGTGGCCCAAGTACAAAACTTATGTCTTGGCCCACTCGCACTTCTTTGCATTGATCTTGAAGTTAGTTTCTCTCAGCTTCTCCAAGACCTGCCTCAAATGACCCTGGTGCTCTTGGAGGGTCCTACTGAAGTCTAAGATGACGTCTAAATACACTACGACGAATCTATCTAACCAAGGCCTAAACAAATTGTTCATACATCGCTGAAATGTCGCTGGCGCATTGGTCAGTCCAAAGGGCATCACTATGAACTCATAATGGATGATAATGCCCATATCTAGTCCGGAACGCAGTCTTGTACTGGTCATCAGGATGGACTTTTATCTGATGATAACCGGACTTCAAATCTATCTTTGAGAAATACTTGCAACCCTGCACCCGATCTAAGAGATCGTCTATCCTGGGCAGTGGTTCAACATTCTTGACTGTAATAGCATTCAGACCCCTATAGTCTAATGCACATACGTAGCTCTCCTTCCTTGTTGGGGACAAATAGTACTGGTGCTCCGAAGGGAGACGAACTGGGTTTAATCCAACCTTTCTCCAGGAGCTCGTCCAATTGCTTGCGCAACTCCTCTAACTCTCTAGGGGACATCTTGTAGACTGCTCCCTTAGGAGTTCTACTGCCAGGCTCTATTTCTATCCTGCGCTGGATCGGCCGCGACACTACTCCTGTCGGCGGCTCTGAGAGATCGTTAAACTCTTCCAGCAGCTTGGCAATGGCAGGATCCGTGGAGCTGTCCTCCTGATTCGTCTCAGTGACAGGCCTTACATATACTACGAAGACCTGATCCTCTAATTGTTCCTTTTTCACTAATCGCACGAACGCGGGAGCACTGAGGTAGCAACGTGCCAAGGAGATATCTATTCCAGACACATGGAACAGACGGGTTATCTTAACCTCGCCTCACGGACTAGGGAGCCTACACTCATGCTCTCTCAAGTGGAGTGTGGCTCCTGCTGCCTCTCCCCAGTCCATACCAAGGACTACGTCGAACGGAAAGTCATCCTGAACGAGGAGAGTCAAGGAATGGAGAACTTTCTCCACCTTCCCATCTTTCTCTAGGCGGAAGTACACCTGGACTCCCTCTATGTAGTCCTCAACTCGCATCGTGCGGTTGTCTGCGAGGACACTAACTATGGGGTCTTCCAACTTCTGGACTTTTGACCCTAGCCTCAACTTCCTCAGCGCCCTACGCCTAATATAACTACGGGTAGCCCCTGAATCTATAAGGGCCCCTACTCTACTTCTAAGAACTTCTACGTCCACTAGGACTAGCTGCCCTTTACTATCTTTCTTCATCTTGGCCCAGACAGGCATCCTCTCCTCCAATTCTTCTGCCACTCCTGTGAGGGACGTACCTAGAGAGACGCTGACACAAGCAATCTCTCGACAGCTACTTGGGACAATATTTTATGATATGTGCACGGTCACCACAGTAAATGCACCGCCCTGCTCCATCCACTATTGCCATACTTTTTGGTCCTGGCCCAGATCCTCAATATTTTATGATATGGGCAGGGTCACCACAGTAAATGCATTGCCCCTGCTCCATCCGCTGTTGCCATACTTTTGGTCCAGGCCCAGATCCTACCAGGGCCATCCTTGGGGCCAACCTGGGTGCCAACCTCCTGACCTTTGAGGTGACCTACCACCTCGTCGCTGTGGGGACCGACTGGTACCTTGACGACTGGACCCCTACCTCCCGCTTGACGGTTCCCTTGACTGCCAACCCCCTGTGTGCCCGATCCTCGGCCTCCCATGGCCTGGCCCCTTTGGCCCTGGCCTCCTCCTCTACCTTGCGGCCTCCCTCCAGCCGCGACAGCAGCATAGGACCGACCCTGCCCCATGCTACTGTCCCCCTCCTCGAGGCTCCACTCAATCTGATAGTACGGGACCTCGTCGGTACTACCTTCCTCCAACGTAAGGATCATGTGATCCTTGGCCCTAACCNCCCCCTCCTCGAGGCTCCACTCAATCTGATAGTACGGGACCTCGTCGGTACTACCTTCCTCCAACGTAAGGATCATGTGATCCTTGGCCCTAACCTGACCAGAGATGGTACACCCTTTCCACTTCTTTCCCTTCTAAGTCCTTGTGCCAGAAAGTGGAAACTGGCATGGACTTGGCCTCAAACAAGACCACCTCCCTGCTCTACACGTCGTACGTAATGTTGTGTTGTTGGGTCTTGTCAAAAAAGTGCCCTCGTAAGGGCTCTGGCATGGCACGATAAAACAACTGAACCAACTGGGTCTCTGTGACCCCGTGGTCCGGGACGACTACCAAGTCGTCCATGACAGCTTTGGGTGCTCTCGCACTCCTCCACTGTCGTGAATGGATGGTTTGGAGCTTGTCGGAGGCCCTGACGCCTCTAGTGACGTCAGCAAACCTCTCGCACAGGAGTTTGAGGAAAGTAGCGAGGGGGGTAAGTCTAGAGTATGCGATCATATTGTGCTCGCAATCTGCGGCACGTGCGAGAGACCTGGCGAAGCTGGCTGCTTCGTCTTTTAAGGCGTGGAAGGCAACGAAGACCTGTTCCTCGGGGGCTATGTGCTGTAAAAAGACATAGGTATTTATGCTGGCCTCCCAGTTATCAAAATTCTCCTCCTTCCCGCTATATGGGTCAGGGAACTTTAGCTTAACTGGCTCTTTGCGGGGGCGAGCCGTGGCCTCTGTTGTGGCCACAACTTTGGCGGTCTCGATGGCACCAGCGCAGAACTTGTCTACGCCATCCCTCAGTCTTCTAACTTCGGCCCCGACGTGGCCCACCACGTCGCTCGCAAATTCCCTAAACCCGGATCACATTGCTTGTAGGGTCACTTCTTGACCCTTACGGGCCTGGTGCTCCTCCATCCGGACCTGGTGCTCCTCCATCCGGGCCCATCATCTTGTCTAACTTGGCAGAAACCTCCGTTTGGGCCAGCGACTCCTGCCTGCCAGTTCGCACTCGTTCAACCTTCCCGGCTATTCTGCTGGCTTCCTCCCTCCTCCTTTTCTTCTCCCTCATCATCTTTAATTTCCACTCCAACTTCTTTTCATCTTCTGTCGCCTGGCGTTCCAAGGGATCCTCTATCAACTCTAGTGCCCTGGCAAACGCCTCCCTCTCCTCCTGCGGCACATACAGTTGTGCCTCTTCATCTTCTCCCAAGGATAAATTAGCCACCCATTCACTTATCTTCTTCTCCCTCCATCTGTCCTCCTCCTTCGTGCCATTTGCTTCTCCTCTCTCTTCCCTACGCCTCCTCTCAAGAGGTTCCTCTTCTTCCTCCTCCTCTTCTCCTGCTGCTGCTTCTTCCTCTGCAGCCCTTCTCCTTTCCTCCTCCTCTAACTGTATTCGCAGCATCTTCTCCTTTTGCAACCTCATCATCTCCTCTGCTATCTTCTTCTTCTTCGCCGCCTGCTCCTCTGCGATTGCTGTCAATTTCGCCTGCTTAAGGAGCTCTTTCTTCTCTTTCTTCGCTCTCAAAACGGCGGCAATCCGGGCCTGCTCGGCCTCGGAGGGGGCAGTACTCTTCCCACTACGGGTGTCAACCATGGTGAAAGGTGCACAACCAGACAGCGGTTCCACTCCTCACCACTTAAGACTCTACTCCCCCTGACTGACACACCTACTGACTCAATCTAAAGACTTACAGAATGCGGACAGGATCCTGTTAATTAGGGTCTCTAGCCTAGAGCTACTCTAAGGTTGTCACTACAAGACATGTTGCTGATCAGGAGGCATTTAAGCAGATCCCCCGTAACTCCTCAGGAATTATTTAACGTCACAGACAGGACGACGCGATCAGCAGGTCTTCTCAACACTTAGACGGCCTATTGTTCAGCCCACAACTCGAATTTTGGGCCTACCATGCCACACCGAGCAGCCGGCGGTCAGTACCGGTCCTTGGGAGGGTTCGAGTCCTCCGGGACAGTCGAGTCGTCAGACAGTCTTTAGCCCTACTCAGCCCGTGTGGGTTTGGTCAGCAAGGCCCTATCCTTCATCCACAGAGTTCCTATTACCTAGACAGAAGAGACTCAATGCAGAAAGAAGAGATAGACAGACTGGACTCAGCAAGTACCACAGGGTGTGTGCACATCCATAGGGCAAGGGGATAGGTTGAAGGCTTGGCGAGATTATACCGGCTCCAACTTGGTCAAAATCGTGGTCAACGGCCTTGGTCAACGCTCGGTCAACACTGCAGTCAACCCCCGATCAACCCCTGGTCAACCCCCGGTCAGCTCCTATCAACCCCAGTCAACACCTCCAATCAACTCTCGGTCGCACCCGGTCAACGCCTGGTCAACTCTCCCGATCAACTCCTCCAGTGGGCTATGGCTATCGGCTTCTACTTTCATGGGACTGCACAACACACTTCACAGGTAAGTGACAACCAAACTTGTATCACTCATCTCTCTCTCTCTCTCTCTCTCTCTCTCTCTCTCTCTCTCTCTCGCCATAGTCATTTCTTCAACGCAAGTATGTGGTACGCCAATCTTGTATCGCTTAACCTCTCTCTCTCTCTCTGTGTCTTCTTCTTCGTTGTGGTCTTTCGCAGGTACGCGCGGCGGCACTTCAACCTCGGTGTCCACTATGGCGGACTTCTTCTTCGTCAACCACTTCGGCTATGGCGCATCACTCTCCCTGCGACACACAACGACGCGCGTGGAACAGCGGGTACCAGCTCTGATACCAATGCAATCAGACTCGTTCACATGCATGCGAACGGGTGCACAACAAACTGGCGACAAGCGCCCACTCAAAACTCAGAGATATGGTCACCGAGAACAAAGTTCAGATTCAAGTTCACTTTGATGGCCATGGCGACTCAGCGCCCACACAACTCTCTCTGTTCGCATACACAGGATCACCTTGAATATCCCACACGCGATACTCTGAGCACACACGCACTCACACACTGAACTCTAACTACAGCTATGGCGGCTATGGCCGCTACTACCCTATCGCTATGGCTACACTCCTTCTCTCGCGCCCACTTCTTCCTCGGGCTCACTGCAGACCACCTCGCACAAGTCGCTTGTGGCAGCGCTTCCGCATGGCTCACGCAGGAATGAATGAATGACTGGGCGCGGCCTCTTGATTTATACTTCTGCAGCTCGTTGGTCTGGCCATTTCCCATGCCCGAAGTGCACACAGTCCCAAGCGGTACTTGCTTGACTGGACAAGGACTGACTGGGGACTGGGACTGTTGACTCAGCACGGTAGACTTCCACCACTTGCCCATTTGCCTCACCACTTGCGCACTTGCCTCAGCCTAAATGTGGGCAACTTCGAAAGGCCACTACTGGGACCTTTCGCAAGGCCATAGACTTGGCCTTTCGTTACTGCAGCAGCTACGACCTTGACCTTTGCGGACTGTAGCACCTACGACCATGACCCTTCGAGACAGCTACAGCTATGACTGCTAGACCTGACTGGAACTCCTACTCGACAGGTCTACAGATCGAACCCCTGCTACCTATGGACCCTACGACAACCTACCAACTGTTACAAATTCACAGGTCACGGGTTCAACTCTGAGGGTCGACACAGATACTGTACACAGGTAAGGTGGGGACTAGGGATCGAGCCCTGGAATCTGCATCGGATACTGCGAGCTGGTGAATACCGTTTCAAAAGCTAAGTTGAAATTCAAATTATTCTGGTATGAAATAATGGATTTTAAGTTAATTGAAGTAATTGCCGAGAAATTCAAAAAAGGAATATGATTTGCAAAACATTCGGGCGAGGAGTGAGAAAAATATTTTAGTAGAAAAAAATAATAATAATAGGATTCGGGTTGATAATAAAAATAAACTGAAAGGTTTAATTAAAGATTGCAGAAAAGGGAAATTTTGCGAATCAATCGTCTTTTGAAATGTCAAAAGGAGGATGATTCCGAGTGTGAAGGAATTCGTGGAAAGGAAGTGATTTGATAATCTAAAAAAAAAGAAATTACAAAACATCGATAGAGGTAGTTGTAGGTGAATTGAAAGAATTTGAAAGATGATTGAAAGATTTGAGAGGAATATAATGTAGTTTTAAAAATATAGGATAGACGTATCGTATGAGGGGGAGGGGGGGGGAGCGGACTTGAGGTTGGGGAGTGGGGGCGCGCGATTGGGAAGGGGGGAAGTGGGGCGA